CTCCAACTATCTCCATAGTTAAAACAAAACCAGTGATATAAGCACCGGCAGAACCAAATATTGCGTAAAGGTATTGTGTAAGTAAGAACGACCAATATTCAGGTATAAACGCAGCTAATACACCGAAGATTAATTGTAGCACTCCCGACCAGCAGAATATTGTTTTTCTCCCATATTTATCCGCCATGCCTCCCAGCACAACAGCTCCGGTGAATACGCCCAACATGTAAACCATTTGCGTGATTGCACCCATCCATCGCTGGTCGCAAACGAAACTCCACTCGATAGCTCGCGACGACGTCCTATACCTTGTGTCGAAGACCCATTTGGAACATTTCTCCGTTTCGTTGTATTCATTGTAGAGATAGCAATTGTGTAATTTTCCTTCTAACGTCTTTGGAATTGCGGCCAGTACCTCCGTGGAGTTCCAAGCTGCCACTGTCTCGTTGGTGTCGACACCATCAATCCAGCACCTGAAAATGAAATCAAATTCATTACATTACGTTTCACTATTGCATTAGTAACATACGTAACATCAATTAAGATCTAACTATGATAGCTATTTACCATGCTAATCAACAACAGTTATCAATTCGACAAAACTACAAAATTAAAACAACAGCATTAAAGTAAGACCATAAAAGATTCACATTATGACACGAACGAAGCCCAGACATCGGTGTAAATTCCAGACATTTGATCCACTACGCATTGAAATTGTTATTGAATGTTTTGTCGATAATAGAATGGAAATAAAAATATTAAAAGCAATAAACTACTGCATTTGGAAGGTTATGCTAATCTTTTAATTGTGTCAAGAACTTTGTATTCAAATTGTAATTTGGCGTAACGCCAAACTAAATCCATAGGCTATTGAATTCGGTTTTTCCAATAAATATAATAAAATTCAATAAATACATTACAAAATATGTATGATTTCCAACTATAGTACCTAACCTAACTATAGTACTTTACGTAGTTTTAAATTTTAATACAAGGAAAACTATGTCTGGTCTCCGATAGCGCCACGTGTTATCCTTATAATTACGAATATAAACTAAGAAAAACTATCTTATTTTCCGAAGATGTAATGGTTTATTTAGTGGGGTTTAAAAGATGTATGTTATGGATTGCACTTTATCTGTGCAACCTATCAAAGCTTTTCCACGCTTATAAAAGAGATTTATTTAAAATAAACATACCAAGTCACGAAACCTTGCGGTTTGTGAATTGTTGCAACGTCTCCATTCAATAGTTAAATTAACCACTTCACTTTATTACTAATATGAAACTCAATAAGGAAAACGGATAAATGTAAATCTGTCAGAAATATAATCATCATAACTAAATCTTAGGAAATTTTATTCATTATCCGTTACCAAGAAAAGCGAATAACAATAGATGTTATTTATTAGAAGAGGTTATAAATAATACGAGCTCAATTTTTGAATATCATTTATTAAAATTTACTTTTAAACATTAGGATGAACCTGTAAATTAAGTCTACATTAAGATACAAAATTGTAACATTCATAATTCAAATAATATTAAAAATCTTTAAACGAATTAAGAAATAAACGGATAATAAAAGTATTGTGTTATTATTGCTGTAATATCTAAAAAAACTCATGAAAATAATATGTTACACATTAAAACTTAAAATTTAAGTGGAGTTTATTGAATTTATCAAAACTTTAGATAGATATTTTCCAAGCCATACACATCCCCAGAAATCCTCTGCACAGACGCTTGTATTAATATGTGTCTCGTATATTCATCTCTCATATATTCTCTTTAACAAAACAAAGACCACAATATGTACAGTCACGGAAATATGCAGTGGTCCACTTACAGAAAAATTGCCTTATTCCTTGCAGCGAGGCAAACTCCAACACTTCTATCGAATAATTAATTAGGTAGCAGTGATTTGCGGAAACGAAGGGATAATAATAAAAACCAATTAGCTGTATAATAACTATTGACCATTATTTTGTAGTGGACACATTTAAAAGCTACGTCTTCTATTGGTTATTGTTCTGCATAATCGTCTCCATGCGTGTAAATGTTCAAACGAATGTAGCTAATAACAATTAGGTATATTTAACATTTAGTATAAGTAAAGCATTTTAGGATCTATATCTAAATACAATCTACATATATGTAATTTAACATTGTGATGTTTCTGTTTAACTACTCTTAAAATAATAACCATAGACTAGTTATTAGGCAGTACCGACATTTACAAATGTGAACATTTTATTATGATTGACTGGATATAAGACATTATTTTGTTTTCGAATGAAATAAATGTACTTAAAAATCGACTTCATTAACAAAACAATTACAACTTATTTTATATTAAAGGATCTTCTATAATTTACTTAATAATTATAGCACTTTTTACTAAACATTACAAGATACATTAAATTCGGCTTGAAAAGTGAGGGAATGAATAATGACATTTTTATAAACATTCCTATAAACTTGCACCAGGAACTGTTGCATATTTTCTTTTTATTAACCTTCCAATCTGTTTAGTATGTCAGTAAAGTTCTTATTTATGTTGATGCCAATGATTTCAAATAATTACTTATAGAACTAGGATTATCCAGTCTAATTCGATTTTTACGTAAAACCTGACTAGATAACTTAACTACTATTATAACATTTAAACCAGCTCAATAAAATAAAAAAAAGCTGAACATTTTAATCTTATTTTAAGCTATACGTATAACATTAGTGACTTCAATACACACAGTCAATATAAAATTATTATTAAATCTATAACCGTTTTTCCACTGGTGAATCACTTGTACAGTCAGCTTTATAAATATCTACACAATTGCAAAGCTTCAGAAACTTTTATACGCCTATATTTTTTAATAAATCCGAATGCATGTATTCGTCTACATGGTACCGATCACTTTATACATAAATGTTTTTCAAACTAAGTGACAAAACAAGTTTCTAACTTTTTTAATTGTGTTCATATTAATGCAGCTGACTGTACACGTTTACTTCTTTTTCACGAGAATTATGGTAAGTTTATATTAGATAGATAGAAACAGTAGGCAAGATTGAGTACAAATTACTAGCAATATAAACAATAAAATTTAAACTCAGTTCGTCGCTATAGAGAATATTAGGAAATATTACTTATTTTTAAATATCGTGAAAGTATGAGCGTCATGTCTTTTTGGCATTCAAATACAATAATTACGTTTCAATAAATCTAAAACAATCATTTTTAAATTGAATAATTTACCCTGGTTGTATTCTTTATAACATATTTGATAACCAGTATCATAACATACAAGAATATTAAGTTAAAAAGTTAATCCTACATAAAAAATAACACTGTACAATTTTAGAGAGGCAACTTTTACTATTGTAATAATTTACCCTGATTATGATGTTCAAATAAATTCGTTTTTCTTGCAATAAATTACCAATAAAACGTTGCTGCTTATTTCAAAACCATCTTATTGCTTCTTTTCAGCATCCAACGGGACCATAGTTTCAGGTAAATCCAATGAAGAAGTACTCATTGTTTTACCACTGCAATTCGTAAAACATGTATCACCAACGCCAAACTTTTCCCCATCTTCAATTGACTGTGGAAGATTCCTGCCAATAGTTTCTGGTAAAAAGAATGTAGAAAAGCCGGAAAGTAAAGCCAGAAAACCAAAAATAACAGTTGGGATTTTGGGATTTAAGGTATCGAGCAAACTAATCAGAGGTGTTAAAGCACCTGACACACTGGCGCACATACTACCGAGACCGACACCAGAGCTTCGGACTACCGTCGGGAATAGTTCAGCTGAATATTTGTAAATGATAGAGTAAGAGCCAGAAATGAAGAGTTTACCGACCATCACGACTCCTGTCGCTGACGTAGAACCATGCGGTAAGGCAACGACAACTATACATGATATTCCACCTAACAACAACATCGCGCTTATCAGCGCTCGGTGCCCAACTCGGTCCAAATAATACATTATAATGACGTAACTCGGTAGCTCCACAACACCCATTAAGAACATAATAAAATAAGGATTACCGTTAAGTTTCCCTGTATTCAAAGATAAACCATAATAAACAACCGCATTAGCAAACCAGCAGCCGGAGATAATCAACGTCTTCATAAGCATATTCGGTGTCTTGAAAAGGTCAATCGTTCCAGCCGAATGCTCGTCTGTGTATTTTGCGCACGTCACTTTGCATTGAGACACCAGCGAAGGTGTATCTACTGTTTCATTAGATTTGTTCACTTTGAGAGCTTTTTCTATAATGGCAACTGATTCGCGTGCGCGACCCTGTGCCCAAAGCCACCTGGGAGATTCGTCCATTATTAGCCAATGGGGAAGTAGAATCACTGCGTGCAATGCATATAGAATTTGTAAATAGAATCTATTGTCCAAAAGATATCCCCAGGCGGCTAAAAGCATAATACCAATCGCGAACATGATTTGAAAAGTAACACCGCATATGGTGCGCCTTGTTGGTCCTACGAGTTCCATTGTGAGAACGAAGCCAGCGATGTACGAGCCGGAACCGAAGATGCCATAGAGAAAACGTACTACGATAAAAGTGTAGTATTCCGTAGTGAAGGCGACAGTGATACCGAATGCGAGTTGGAGGACCCCAGACAAAACAAAGATAGTTTTCCTACCGAGCTTGTCACACAAGCGACCGAGTACAACAGAACCGACGACAACTCCGAACATGTATGCAGTTTGTCCGGTCGCCCCCATCCATCGCCGGCTGCAGACAAAGTCCCACTCGATCCCGCGGGATGACGTATAGTACTTTGTATCATAAACCCAAGATTGGCATTCCTTTAAAGTTTTATTGACTCCGTATACATAGCATGATTCCAATTTTCCGTGTTCATTGATAGGAATTGCGTTTTGCACCAGGGTTGAATTCCACGGTTCCGTATAATTTATGCTGTCTATTCCCTCGAGGGCACATCTGAAAATGTTAAAACGAATATTAATTTTGAGTTACGTCATATGTATTAATTCAAACAAAACCTTGTGCAAATGAATGAATGCTTGTGCTTTTATAAGATTAAACATAAAATAAAGTAAATAGATACTAAAAAAGCAACACTAAATGTACGTTATATAGTCTAAAACAAATCTAATATGTCAAAATATAAATAAAACATGTATGTACTTTGACGCCACACGTCGAAGTTCGTCTTTACATGATATGAGAGTTTACATTGCTAAAACATTCGCATAAAACTAAATTTCTCTATCTCCCTTTAAAAACAATGTTTACAACTTGTTTTATGCAAGAGTATCGGCAGCGGAAACTGAATTTCTGATGCATAATTTAACACAATTTTGCATTCTGTAAGATTGGACATAGATTTTTTATAAAGTAAATAAAACGTGAATGACTTGTTTATTATATTATTATTACAAATAACATGCATATCGATATATAGCATGCAATGAATACATTATTAATGCGATAATCACATTTGTATGTAGGACATTGAAAACCTCGAAATATTTCATTTTACATTCCGTTATATTATTATAACGGATATATACTATTGTATTTAATCAATACAATAGTATATTGTGATACGGTTAAATAAATACAAAGCAACAATTTTACTTAAAATTTAAAATACGATAGGAAATATGATATTTCAAATTTTTCGTAGATGTAAAAAGTGAGTAACTCACCATCAGTTTACTGCAATCTAACTGTAAAACTGAAGGTGTGTTACTGTCTTAACGAACGGAGTAACATGATAAGTGAAAAGTCTGTATGAAAATGAAAAGTTTAGTGAAACGAGTTATGTGTATTAGCACAAATAAAGCATTACATACGTATACGTCCAGTAACATGTAATCAGATATTTTATAGCAATGTGTACTTACTTTCTATCACCCAATGTGTAAATAGCACAAACGTCACACGGTATTCGTTTACACAACGACCACCAAAGCCGATACCAAACAGAACCCTTTGTCCCGAAAAGCATTTGAAACTTTAAAACGTAAAAAATAGCAAGTAAACTCACTATTAGGTTTTACAAAAGTTACCTTTGGATAAAAGGTGCAAATTTAATACTTCACAAATAAAAGAGTAAAAGAAATTTATAGCGTGGGAAACAGCCTTAGAAATAACAGGTTGCTTCGTTAATTTCGTTATATCTTCTGCTTAGTTCAATTGAAAAGTCAATTATTTTTTTCTAACAGGTAATTAAATTGAAAACTGTTAACACTGACCTTAAGCAAAATATTGTCAAAACTAAAATATGAATTTATAAAGGCAAAATAGTGATTTAGATATTGTTAAAAGTGGACTTAAATTCCCTCTTATGCTAAATCTTGCTCTAAAATATTCAATTACTACTTGTAGATACATTACTTGTAGAATTTGTTTCAGGTAAAAATAATACTGTTAAAACCCTGATGATTATTTATTGCAATGTTTGTCAAAAACAGGTGATTTATTATGAAAACGATTAACGTACCCCGAAAGGAAATTTTGTTTGTTGGAAATTCTGGAATACATAAGTAGAAATTTTCAGGACGATCACATAATTCATGCACATGCAATGGAAGATTCATTTCTTAACTGTCAAATTTATTTACGGTTTACATTAAAAAAAAGTTTCTATGGATTAATAATAACAGGACAGGCGTATAAAGTAGTTTCCATAAGATAAAAGACATATAAAAACGGTATGCAATAACATAATCTACGATTGTAGTAATAGTAAAAAAATATTAAAACAGATTGTGTTCTAGAAAAGATACAGATTGAAATATAAAAAAAAGAATTTGAGAGTTACTCTAGAAGTTTACAGGAGAAAAGCATATTGCAATCATAAATAAAAGCGAAAGTACAAGTTTAAGATTACATAAAAGCGAAACCGCTCACCACATCTTTTGCCTGTTATAGTCGGTGTTCAGACCTAGTGTAGTAATATATTTTAATATTTTCATTATTCTGCCACCTTTTATAGTTAATAATACCTAAGTAAAGTACCTAGTATTACTTTATTACTAGTATCTCAACATGTTGACAAAGTGAATCAATTAAATTCTATAATAGTTAAGGCAAATATGTCAATTGCTGTATATTAAATAGTTACTTGAGTGGATTGAATTAAAATTAATGTATAAATCTTTGTAGTATTTACTGCCCGACTGGCAACATTATTTTAAATTGATAACTAGTCGAATATTGCTTGTATAGTGTTTAATTCACGTTTAAATTAATTAAGTAACGCCTTAATACATGTATAGACTGGGTTAACTATCGACTAGTTTCGATACCGCGAGATCGACGAATTAATATCAGTTCCATTACGGAAGGGTTCGAAATTAGTCGGTACTAACACTATGTCTAGTTTACTACTCGACACCGTTATTTTTTTTTAGTTATAAAATCTTGTCTATTAATTTACCTATGGTCAGGCACCGCGGCTACTGTGACAAGAGACAGCATGTGCATGCCGGCAGTCAGCGCCGCCAGAATATGAAGGATAAACTGGAAGCATTGGTACCGCCCGAAATCACCTGGAATTTAATGAAAAATCAATTAATATACGAAATCACCTCAAGTTAAAGAAAGTTGGAGTCCTTTAATATAGTTAACTTATAAGACCAAGTTAGGGTCTCTACCCTACACTCCTCCTCCTCTACCCTGACACTCTTGTCATAAGACTAACAATTATAAATTAGATTTTTTCATTCAAAATATTGTGAATCAAAAGAAATCAAAAGCAGATTACTGGTAATTTTGATCAGATAATTTTGTTATTTCAATCGATATAACCTTGGTAGTAATTATTTTACACAGTAAAAATTTCTACGTTAAAAGTAAATAGTTTTAATAGCATTACAATTATTTTTGTAAAGATTATTTTCTTCTATAATAATTCTTAGTATCAGTCAATGAATGAATTTTCGCACAGCTTAATTCATGGTAGATTACGAACATAAACATTTCGAGATAATTTATGCCACAGCATCTAGTGAACAAGGACGAATGTTGCGTCACATTGTATTGTTTAACAAGTTAAAGTATCTTCATACTTGGATATATTTTCTGACCTACTTTAATAAAGCGAATGTTACACGGTGAAACTATACATTGGTATTCTAATATGTCGAGCATGACAAATCGTGCAAGAGAAACAAAATTTACCTACAACTTGCCCCACCATTCACTTTCTTTTAGGCAGTGCGCGCTTTCTTAAAACGTATTGAATAATTTAAAGAGGCCTCTCGTTACTTTGGACAATTGTTATGCCGTGACTGTAACTCTGCCCGATCTATGCAGCATATAATTTCAGTTTATACTTAATTTTAGGTAGAGCTTGACGTTTCTATTCATAAGTAAAAAAAAACATAACTAACACAGATGATTTGTTGACGTAATTATACAGCCCAAAATTAGTATGTTGTAGTTAAGTACTATTTAATTTTACTTATATTTTCCATTTTATAAAACCTTATCTGTTAATTGAAAATACTTTATAACTAAATGTTTAAGAAGCTTTTATATGCTACGCTATGATTTTTAAAAATATTAATCGATATTTTAAAAACACGTTAACATAAAAACGGGTTTAGACATTCCACGCGTATAGAGAATTGCTTATTTTGTTACTTGCAAGCCATTTTAATGTATTTACACAATTATACTTGCTTATTTGCACCGTCTAATGTTATTAACATAAGATGTAACGTGAATTGAATAAAGCGATAGTCGACGCGACGTTGAACTTTGCTGACCTATGCTCTTTACTCGAGGTGACCGATTACAGATTAAACACGTTATTGATGCTTAACATTACATGTTTTATTGATCTACTTGCTTTCGCCCGCGACTTCGTCTGAATTAAAAAATATAAAACAAAGTAGCCTGTGATCTTTCAGACTATCTTCTACGTCTGTACGAAATTTCATCAAGATCCGTTCAGCCGTTCAGAGATCCATCAATCCAAACTTTTGCATCTATAATATTAGTAAGATGTGTTTCCACTTAATAAATCGTATGAAAATATTTTGCGTATCCTGTTATTCCCTTTGGATAGAAATAAATAATTTGTATATCTTTAAGTGTGGTTACGATGAAATTTTACTAACATATACATCGTATATTTAAATATTCCAGACTGTTTTATAACTTTGTCGGTATAGTCGTTCAAGTAAATTGAATTCGTTAAATTGCTGAATTAGTAGTGAAGGTTCTTGATAATTCATTTTGATTCTGTGACAAATAAGCAATTGATTTTATACGAAACTGGAACAGGCTGATAAGATCGTGTCAAAGAGAGAGTTAATTAGTGTGCGATACATACGTCAAACGACTTACTATTCTAAAGCAATATCTTCTTGTCAGTTCCAAATAAGTTATGTTGATATCTTTCTTAGAATTTATGTAACAAGCTAGCAACAGACGATTGTAATGAAACTAAAGTATTGTTATTACTGTTGTTACCTTTAATAAGTCAGTCTAATAGTAGGAATAAGGGGAATAAATGTGCTTTTGTATTGATGTACAAGAGGTAAATGAAAAAATAACATCTTTAGAAAAAAAATTAAAAACAGCAGTAGACATAAAACAAAGAAAATAAAGGCGAAATAATTAAATTCCAACTAATTTGTGTTTAAACTGTAAAACTAAACATTTAGTCAACGTTTTAATTACTCTGTCCATATATTGCGAAGGTTCTCATTGTTAACGTGTGAATATAAAGTTCTTACTTAGAAATGACTAAGTTCTCCGAATGCAATAAGCATAGTAATGTAATAAACGCAATGTCGCATGACTTTATAAACATCAAATTTAATACTTCGATAGACACGCATAGTCTTCCGCGTCTATAGAATTTAAAATTCAATCTGGAAGTGACCTCTATTTGTACATGACAGAATGATACATAATTTAAAATAAATAAGGTCAACATGTCTAGGCGTCCTTAAAGTTATCTTTATGGAAACCGTATTATTATCTGAAGTTAGAGAGTTTTTAAAAATATCCACATATTTAAAAATCGAATTGGATTATCAACATACGATAAATTTAGCGTTTTTTTATATAAAACTAGATTTAATTATTTTGTATTGTTAAAAGAAAAAAAACCTATTATTTTACTCCATAAAAGAATTTTAAAAGGAAAATGACAAGTTTTTATGAATATTGAAACTGAATATGGTACACATTTTTGATAACAGTCACATTTTTAATGCAAAGAGGATATTACGTGTACCTTTGTTTATATTCAGGTTCATTGTTAAAATTAACAAAAAGCAAAGCATATTTAGTTCCGATACACGCGCCAGAAACTAGTACAGGTATTAATTTTACACACTAAATAAATAATAAATGTTTGTGTGTAAATGTATACCTATTATTATATCCATTTTATGGTTAGAATGTCTGATATGTATTTGACATTATCCCTTGTCCAATTAAATTCTTGAAAAGTTGTTAGGTCTATAAAACTGTGTACGTAAAATATGTAAGTTACGAGCGCCTTGTGTAATGCCGTAATGTGGAAATCTTATGTCCTGCCATCAATTACAATCCTAAGTACAACACTCGGTCAACGAACAAATGTTTGACTTCAGTTTTTGGGAGTGTCGTGTACATAGTACTCCCTTCATATTCCTTGTAAGTGTATTTGACAACCGATAGAGCTTTGCCCACGTGAATAAACCATATAAAAATGAAATACTAGCAACGCATCCCGACTTCGCTCTGGCAGCAATAAAACAATTGTTAGAGAAAAATAACCCTTAAATAGACAATGTAATTTAATCAAGATCTATTTAAGTGATAAGAAATTTTTATACCTGTAAATTATAAAGAAGGAACTGCGGGTAAAATTTTCTGTGAAGAGTATAGATTAGGATATTGATAATATATTAGATATCACCTTAATAATGTTCATAAAATTAGTATTTCAACATGAAATCATACTACGGTAGCTACTCAAACAAAACTTTTAAATCGTCATTCTATTTTTATTGACACAGATGTTGACACCGATTACAATGTACCGAATCGCAGCGATATACAGAAATAAAACGATACGATAGCGTTGATAATTGGGTTAGATAAATAAGGTAAGCTAGAAACGAGGAACGGCGTTGAAGATTTTTCTTTTTATTACATAAATTTAAGCCAACTAAAACTATACAAATTCACACAACATTTTAAAAATCGCTCGACGATGCTGCCTTTTACGTAGGTTAGGTTAAAGGCACTCGTAAATATAAACATAAAAAGAAAAAATATATTTGATTTACTAACTCCTTGAGAACATCTTGAACGTATCGAGATTTTTATATCAAAGTGATAAATTGTTGAACAAACATTGTTATCATTGAGGTTACCTCAATCAATCAACAAAATACACAGTAATTTCACACGATCGCCGCTTTTATATTTATAGTGTTGCTATGCGCATATATATATACTATGCTTGTTATTTTACTGATTTTCTCAGTTTGTGGATTGTTGGAGCATTTTATTCCTATTTCTATCCCGTGCTTATTTGACGTCTGGCAAACATCTTGCCGTCTTGTGTGATTGACTATGGCCTAGTCACCCTTACTTAGGGTAGGCTCCGAGCCCCTCGGTGAGGGCGTATAGTGAGCTGGTGATGATGATGATGATGATGAAGATGTTTGCAAAATAAGTGTAAAGGTAAGGCGTTAAAATATACTCGTATAAAATTATATTATCGTAGGAGTGTTTCTACAGTAATACGATGGAGAAAACACGAAACATGTAGAGAATCTCTTTGTTATTCAATGTGTTCACACACGACGTTAGCCGTTCATTATCGAGAACCGTTAATGCGAAGATGTTTACGCGCCTGTCCACAAATAGCAACAGTATGCACTTAGTCAATAAAGACAAGGAATTAAACTTTACAAGTACAAATCAAGCTTAAACGAGTTTTAGATAGGACTTGCTACTACTAACTGTGGTACGCGGTTTTACTCGAAGCCCTAGACTTTAAAGAATAAAAGTTCTTTTAAACCGTCTAACCGCGGTGTTATTTTATCAGAAAGATAAAAATCTCTTTTTTTTAAGAGAATATAGGACTATCCCACCACTGGCTGATAGAGGCTCAGATAGCTAAAAAATGACGTCACTCAGATAAGGGAACAAAATCCGATATTTCCATCACATATTTTACACGTCGGATTGTTACTAGACAATTTACAATTTGGTAGGACAGGCCCTAAAAGTCAACAAAACTTTAGTAATGTGTGATACATAAATGTGATGCATATCTCGAATATCGTAAGCACACATGCAAGTAGTAATGTAAAGTTAAATGGCACATCATTTCCCTCAATCATCCACTTGAAGGAATTGTTAATAAACGTAGGCACAGTAGCCGAGTTTATATCCAGCTAAATAAGACGAATGAACTTGATATATTTCGCATACATTTTTCAACGAACGAAGCTACAAATAAATCTTCCATTAAGGTAATTAACTTTGTTCTATTGTGTACTTTAACGACTTCTACATTTGGATTAATGTTCAA